GATCTACTTAAAAATAGTGGAACACCGCGATTCCTTCATTCTCTTTACTTACCTATTTTTTTTCTAGATCTTGTTATTTAAAGATCATAGAGTTCTACAACTGTATCAAATTCCAGATTTCAGAAACTCAGAGAACGTAAAATTTTTTAGCAGATTTTATTTTATTATCAATAATTATTAACTGTACCCTCGTAGCCTCTTTAAATCAATCTTGACTGAATGAAAATAATTATAAAAGTAGTAGAACGCAAAATTCTACTCTTGATTCTTCTCTTCACACAAGTTGAGAATGATTTACAGCAGACAAGTTGCATAAGACAAGTTTTAGCTACGTCATGCAGATTATGTACAACAGATTACACACCACGGAATCTACAACTTAAGGCTAATATTATATTATATTGTATATTATATTATATAATTATTGCTATAAATTCTAGCAAGAATTGAACGTCATACGTGATTGAGATAATTTTAACTCGATATTATCTCTACAAATTTATAAGTTGAAAATTTGATAATTGTAACTTAATAAAAAAATAATTTGTAACTTCAAAATTTTTTTCAAACTTGAGAAAATTACTACTTATCTTCTGATTATTTAGGTATATCATACCTAATAATGTTTTGACACATCCCCATATAAGAGATGATTAATAACTGATCCAATTATAAACAGGATATCCTTAACAAGATAACGTGGATGGCATCTAATCCTATAGAGCAATATCAATATGTCTAGTTCATGAAGTCCAACGTTTCACGGCTTTTCGTTATTTCCAACTACGTTTTATGGATCCATGATGGTCGTAAACAGATTCTCTGACTCAGAAATAGCCTGTGGGTACCGAGCTCCACGTTCTCGAAACTAGTTCCATCTTCTCGAGGTCTTCGTTCATTCTATTCGCAATTATTTCGAATGTTAAAGTGTTACAAGAAAATTCCAAACTTTAATCAAAAGATTGCGATATTCTTTTTTGCATTTATCTCTATTACGAAATTTGTACGTAAAATACGTTTAATATCGAAATGGAGTACGAAACACGAAGAAGAAAACTTTAATAAAACAAAATTCTAATCGAAGGATTACAACAAGGATTCTTCTTTGCACTTTTTTTTTCTTTTTTAATGTATTTTTTTATGTATCCAAATGGAATACGAGATGCACAATTCTAGAATTTCCAATTTGATCGTCGAAGGGGAAGACTTTAAGGGTCGTATCTTGGCGATCAATTAAACCTGAGGCACGAAACGTTGTCTAGAAATGGCGCGATGGACGTCAATCATCGTAGAAAGTAATAATGACGATCATGTAATGTATAAATGTATAAATTTAATAATGTATAAATTTATGAACACACTGGTAAAATTCTAGTATATTTTATCGGCGAATCCTATTTTCTTCCCACGTTTTATAGCGGCGGGAATAAAATTTTTTTTTATATCCCACTTCAAGGATAATAAATTTATCTTCGACACGAGTAGAACGTATGTATGAAATCGAAGAGAAAAAGATATTTCTCGGCGTGCTAAGTGCCGATTCTTGTAAATACCTTCGACGATAACGCGATAGTGAAGCACAATGTTTCACTGTTCATCGATTTCTCTTCTAAATTATGATATTGTGCTCGCGCGAGAATAAAAGTATCCGAAATTGTCTTGTTGAATGAAATTTTTCACGTTTACGATAATGATAAACGCGATTGTATTAGCATTCAATGCACTCGAAAAATTTATGTCAGATTTATAAAAGTTAAAAATTCTAGAATTATAAATATATATTTCCGTTCGATTTATTCATTAAAAACGAAACATATAATAGATTTTTCCTAATTTTAAATTGAAACAACAATAAAATTTTAAACTCTTATAAATATTCTGATTATTCGTAACAATATCGACGATCGATATTTTTGTTATAAATTTCATCCCTATCCCTGTCCCTTTTTATTACACCATTAATCTTCAACCTTTATTTTTCATACCGATAAATTGCAGAATATTTGTGGAAAATAAAATTTTTATCGAGCTTGAATAATGACTTATCCTCTCGCGTATCATGCTCGCATTCTTCGAATTTTTCCATATAATTGCGTAAACATCCGCAATCTCGTCGATAATAAAGATTACTACTAACCTGTCAAATTTAATTTTCAGAAGAAATTTCGAACTCACAATTTTTTTACAACACTTCTATCAATTCCTTCTCACGCCACGACAATTCATACTTGCTCCGTGGCGTGATGCAATTACACGCATAACTCCATCCATCCATTTCCTGTTAATGGGGAATCACGAATATTCTCTCTGATACCGACATTTCTGACAACGTTCTCAAAGTGAACTGACCATATTTCGCCTATGTCGCAATTAATGGAACACACACAGTGATCGGTGAATCTCATTAATTGCATGGGCGATCAACATCGATCATCGGCCGGTTCGGTTTCAAACTGTTCCCTCGACTTACCAAACAATAGAGTTTTCGTGAAATTACTTGCTAAATGCCCGCATCGCTTTAGAGAACGTTCATATTGCTAATTAAATTCGCTACTTCGCTAATTAAACGCGAAATCTGGACAATGATTATATGAATTCCACCTTGTTTTCCTAGTAAGAATAATTTGTTCTTACGACAAAGATTGAAATTTTCTTTGAAATAATAAGTATATGAAGTAATAGGTACTTTGAAATAATAGGTAGTTTACGGATAATATGAATTCACTTATGATAACATTAATGAAATATCAAAGTTGATAGAAAATTAAAAATGAATTTTCATTTAATTTAATAAAAGAAAGTTTAAGCATAGAAGTTAACATCTATTCGCATCTTTTAGATAATTTTAAAATAAAAATTTGTCTAAAAGATCCATAAGGATCGAAATTAAATTAAATCGATCGAGAAAAATTGTAAATTTGATGATTGAAAAAATAAAATTAAGTGATTATTGATCAAATTTTCTTAAAAAATAAATTATCCTTGAACAAAATAGAATAAATAAAAATGATTCTAAATAAAACATTACAAAAGAGACTCACCCCTTTTCATTATCATTCGATTTAATGATAATCAAAATTGCAATATCCTTTACGTATTTTATTGAAACGATGAAAGGAAATGTTGTTAACATAAATTTGTTAAAAATTAAATTCCTAAGATTTTCATAGAACGATTAGAATAGAAACGATCATATCTTCGAGTGGCGTGTTGTAAAATAAAATGAAAGGAAGCATAAAAATAGTAACGCAACTCGTATTCACTACTTAAAGTCGTGACAAGAATTATGAATGAAAATATAGTGACTGTGACATAATATAAAGGTAAATTTTGCTTTTCAATTTGAAATTTTGCAACAATTAGAATTAATGATAATTTATTAATTTAAGTGACTGGTTATGTGAAGCTATAACTCATAAAGTTGCAACGTTTATAGTCCTCGAATTTACAGTGATTTATTTGAATTTAATACTTGTAACATAACACGTTCATCTCTCGTGTCAATATATTCCAACTTTCAATTCCTTGCAAATTGTATTATCAATTAATAGATTTGTACGAACAATCATGCTTGCTTACGATTATAAGCAACAAATAACAATATGTTAAAAAAGAAAATTCATCATCTCCAATTTTCGATGAATCTATTGCTGCTCTATCGAAACGAATCAATTTCTCGTTGCTGATAATCAACGGATTACTTTTCGACTTTACCAATTTATCGTTTATTTAATTAAATATTCCACGCGTTATTTTCGAAACGAATCATCGAGCCAAATTGAAATTTGTCGAGAGATTCGAAAAATACGCGAAAAACGATGATATTTCGATGGAACGTTGGCAATAAATCGTGTAACAACGTAGAACGAATATTATATGAAAAGCGAGAAATATAAATGGAATTTTTAAAATTAGAGCACTTTTTGTTAAATATAATTTTTTTTCATGAGAAATTAGTCGCATTCAAGTCCCCGGTTCGCTTTGAATTTAATAAATAAAGAGAGGTTGAAATATTTATTAGAAAAATGGTAAAACTCTGGTAAAATGATACGTTATTTTATGGCAATCCATTTTTACTCTCACTTCTGCATATCATAATTACTGTAATTAAAAAATAAATATAATTTCGAGCTTTGTATAAAGTTATCTGTGCATGTTAATTTTTTAATTTTGAACAAAATTAAACGAAAATAACGTGACTAATTAACATCGTTATCATTTTAATTTATTTTTTATCTTCTTTTTTTCTTTCTTGATACTATATCGTTATTTTTTAATAACGAAAGTTATAATTTAAAAAAAAACAACAATATCAAAAAACTTACTTTAAATCCAAATTCTTCTATTTTTTTATTTTTATGAAACTCGTAAAATGTGAAAATGTTCTACAAAAATATCTTTCTTTCTCTCTCTCTCTCTCTTTTTCTTTCTCTTTTTCTATGATGTAATATGAATTCTCATAGATAAAATAATAGACATACGTGACAATGATTTTAAGAGAGATGAAAAATCCATCAGAAAATCAAATAGTAATAGATTTTCTTTCTACTTCCTTTCTTATTGTCTCTTAATACATTATTGATTCATTCTAAATGTTAGCTAATGTCAATACGATAATACTGCTTGACATTTTCCAATTTACTATTACTAAATTTTACATTACATCTTTCTTTTTTTTTTCTATGTGTTCCAGAACTTATATCAAGTTTTAAAAAATAGTATAAAAATTTTAAAAATATATGGAAACTTTAATTGGTAATTTACAATTTATGAAACCATGCATAATATCATTTGTTTCGAATATCAATTCTTATAGTTGTAGATAAATTTAATTCTAATAGATCCAATTTTCACAAATATATTTTCTCACAAGTTATTTCATATTCATTTATATTAGATAACTATGCTATGAACTAAAGAATTGAAATTCGATTTAATCAACGACAAAATTTTTAACAATTAATAAGAATGTAAAAATCTTTTGAAAAATATCTACTCACCTCAGTTTGCACGTCCATTTTTAACGAAGTATGATGCTCTCTGCAACAAAAAAAAAACAAAGATATATAATATCTGTATAAAGAATTATAACTATTATAAAAATAGAGAACAAGAATTCGAATTTTACTCTTATTTTATTCATTTATTCTATTCATTTTTTGGAATATAAATATTCATTTATTTCATGTTACAATACACATGTCTACCATTTTTATGTTTATCAGTAATGTTATTACTGAGATTAACGTTGATGCACATACATTATTGCACTTTACAAAGTTGTCAAAGTTTGAACTTAATCAAACTTGCAAGTACTCTATGAAATTATATCGAGATCTTATGATTCTCGTTGTTTAAAATGCTTCATTGTGTTAGGCACATTACAAAATAAATTCCGTACAAATCTTGCCTTAAAATATACTTGAAATATATATATTCCTTCTTAGGTTTAATGATAATTAAAAATACAAAGAAAATTAATTTTTGTTTTCTAACTTAATTTTTATACAAGTGTATAAATTAAGACATAGAAATAAATGATTTAATTTAATGATCTAGTCTTATCATAATATTTGAATACAAATGTTTCTGAGATTTCGCAATTATTTAATCTAACAAAATATTTAATTTATTTATAAAGTATCGTTTCGAAAATTGTCCCATTTAAATAAAATCTTTATTTAATTATACTTAATTGTACTTTTGTTCGATATAAGTACCTATAAAATAAACGAAATGATAAATAAATAAAAAAATTTATGAAAGGTACGTGAAATTTTTCTTTGGAAAAATTCTGTTTGGGGAGATATATTTATCTAATACGGAAGAGGATTTTTTATCACCGGAAATTTGTCACAATCACGTTGTGGATAATTTATTTTTTTATCGATACTTTCAATCCAAACATAATTATATTATTATGTGCAAAACTTTGTTCTAGTTTACCAGAAATTAAGATTATCAAAAAATTATTACTAAATCGTTCTTCGTTTCTTGACATTTATTTCAATTATTCAATTTTCGTTTCATCAAAAATGATTTATGAAATCATTGTAGAAATCGTCTTTAATAATCTTTTTCAATATCTGAAAGAATGAATATGTGAATATGAATACATGAAAAGATAAAAATAATATACATAGATATTTATTTATTGCTTTTCAATATATATTGTATATTCATTTAAGTTTTTCAATATATAAATTTTACCACTTGTATTATCCTTTAGGAAAATCCTCATCGACTCAAGTTTTTGATAAATTAAATTAAAATATTAGATTCTCGTAGAGGTTCTTATGGAAATTGAAGAAAAATTTAAAGGCAATGTGTTTTCGCAGAATTAGCATTTCGTTGAATAATGTAATGTCATTCATTTACTTTTGCCATTTATTGAATAGCTACGAGTATTTTTGAGAAAAATTGTTCCATTTTTATAATAACGAATCCCTTTTAATTTTTACCATTCAAATTATGTTCTCCAATTATGAGTGTAGAATTATGCTGTACAACAATATCTTCTTGAAAAAACAATTGAATATTTTTCCGAATATTTTTTTCTTTAATTACCATACTTAATACCATTACAGGATAATAATATTCCAATATTTTAATAATTCAACGATTCATTTCTTCGGAGAAATCATATTTCACCGGATGATACGACCAATTTCCATAAATAAAATATCGAAATAAAGTCGATTTGAGAATCAAATGTATTTCTTCTCGAGCGAAAGAAAAAAAAAAAATTCTCTTATTATCTAATGATAATAAAAAAATACGATAATAAATTTCAAATAAAATAAACTAGGAAAAAAAAAACTAAACGAACGAATTTTCTTTTTTATAGAGAAAAAGTTCTCTATAAAATTTATTTTATCGATTGAATTGGAAATTCAAATTAGGTTGAAAAAAAATTATTATCGAAATAGAATCAGCGAACCTTCCCTTCTGATACGCTTGAAAAGACCAAAGTAAGAAATTCTTCGGCTTAGCACCTTCTTTCAAGGCACAAAATCTAACGGAGACAGCTTAATCCTAAATATTCCCCGCAAAGATGAATAGTCACGTTCCCTATGGCATCGTTTCCAAGAACACCGTGCGATCTTCAAATTAACGTGGAAACAACGTCAGTAGATATCTGGCTGTCTGCCAACTTCCTACAAGATTTGTAATACAAGTTAATCACCGACCACAAATTTCCTATGCCAATCTAAATACTATTCGTCAATATGATACACACTAATACTCTCTACTGATCGAGTAAATCTTTTTTTTTTTTTATTCGAATTCTCAGATTATTTTAAAAATTTATTAAGTAATTATTCCGTCCTGATTATGCTTATCATTAATAATTTTTTTTTTATATAAAATTCTTTTCTTAATATATATATATATGTATATATATATGATAAATTATATTATTATTAATATACATATTTATTAAACTGTAACACCTTTTATACTTCATAATATAATCCATTTTCCACTTATAATGGTGATATTCCACTTATCTAATTCTTAATTCTCATCGTTCCAAAAAGTTAAATAAATAATTTGACAAACAAAATATAATACGATAATTTTCTCGATGCTTTTAAAAGCTTTTCGAATTTCCTTTTTCTTTTTCTTTTTTTTTTTTTTAATTTGTCGTGTGTTTGTCCTTGAAGTTTAAAAAAAAAATGACGAGAAGCAAGATGGTGAATGATAAAAGGAGTTGCACACCATTGTAAACAATATCGCGAGAACGAGAGGCGATGAAGGGTGGTTTTCAAGGAAAAAAGCTCGCGGGTGTACTTCATCAATAAACGTCCGGAGTATGTGTGTTAAAATAGATTTATAGCAACAGCTGCGCCAAGAACTTGAACCGATACGAAACCTTCAACCACTCTGGTTCGTCATTCGTGATTTCTTTGTGAAACAAAAATCAATTTATTGTTCGAGGGGATTTGATAGTCTAATTACAAGATTCGAAGATTCATTTGTCCATTGAGTTGATGTCAGTTGTATCAAATGCCGTGTGATTTATATAGAATTTTTTTTCTTTCTTGACAGAGAAAAAGATATTTAATTTCAAAAAATATGAAATGAAAGGAATGGAAGGAAAAATTGTTTAAATTATTATAAATTTATCGTGCTTGGATCATGATGTATTATTTTTTCTAAAGTTAAAGTTAAATGTTGAGTTTTTAATTGCCACGTGTTGGTGAGATTTTTAAAAAACTAAAAATGATAAAACGAGAATAATGATTCTAGATTTCATAATTACGATATTTTAAAGCTTCCATTAGAATCTGATTATAAGCGAAATATAGTCTTTTAACAGGCAGAAGAATTCATGATAAATTACTCAGTATCTGGTTCATGCAAATTTAAGATGAATCATCGAAAGGTGTTGTGTCTCTACACTTCTTTTCAAGCTATTGTCTTCTTTTCAGAAAAAAAATTATACAAAGGAAAAATAATTATACTTGTAAGAAGACATATATATTTAAAGAATACCGATCAATAATCGAAACTCTAATAAAAAAGAAAAAATAATCAAATTATTAAAGCACTTTTCTAATTTTCTAAATTTAATATTTTTAAAAATATAAAAATATGTATGAACTATCTTCATAAAGAAACAAATGAAATTTCTCTGTTATAAAAATATATTGAGATCTAACAGATTTCATCCATAATGTCGTTCTTTTTTCGACTCTATATAAAACTCGTCAAGTCCAGAAAAGCGAGAAAAATTGTGGTTTCAGAGGTAATCGCAGGCTCGTTTAAACCTGACGTTTTTTTCTTTGAATTAAATAATTTTATCATTCTTATAACAATTTAATCTCAAATCGAGAAAGAAAAAAAAATTTGCAATTTTTATCGAAATATTTTATTTGTTATGTAATTAAATAGAAATTTCTCGATATTATAATAATTTAAGAAAAATGTTATTATTAGAAAATATGTATTCTAAATATTAATAATTTCATATACTTTAATTTCTTATAAGATTGAACTATATTTTATATCGATAATTAATTAAATATTCATTATCTCTGATCCTATATGCATAATATTTATATTATAATCCATTCCATTAATTTCTCCTCAAAATTGCTAATTTCTATCAAATCTTGTTTAAATATCAATTACTGGATCCGCTCATTAACGAGAATCCGGTAAATATATCGTTTAAATTAAAGAGAAATATTACCTATCAGCTTCTATACATGACTATATCTATAATCGTGTATAACAAACTAATGGTGCAACCTCTGTAATAAATTTTTAATCTATGAATTACATTTACAAAGAATTTTCAAATATAGTAGGATTTGGAATAAGAATTGTTTTTGAAATCAAATTACGTGAGATTCGAAATTTTAAAAGTATTTTAAATTAAATTTTTGAAATATGAATAATTTGAAGAATCATATCTGAATAAATTGAGAAGTAGTTCAGATTTGGATTAAGATTATTTCTAAAAATCACATTGAACTAGATTAAGAATTTCTTTAGAAATTTTGTAAGATTGAATTTAAATTTAAAATCTTATTAGAGTCGAATTAGAGACTTTTCAAATTTTAATTAATTCAGATTGAATTAAAATGTACCGTGCATCACAGCAAAATATATTTTGCATAAAATGAATAAATATCACGTAGAAACTTTCATCTCAGCCTGTATCCACGTAATGTCTGTAGCTTAAATGATATTTAAACTTCCTTCCTCATAAATCTGCACGTGTTCAAGGAATTCCATTGTACAACAACATCAAATGGTTGTTTCGTATGAAAAGTGGATTTAGTTAGATGACCATAACTGGTGAGTATATTGAGAATATTGTATCGATTAGCTTATTTTGCGGATGGAAGAAATAAATGTACACGAAAAGAAGTAAAATCAATAACTGCACACAATAGAAGAGATAGAAATTTTCTTGAATCATTTTCTTCAAATATATATATATATATAAATTGAAGAATGGAGAATAAATGTTAAAAAGATGTAAAAATTCCAATCATTGTGAAATTCAGTACAGTTGAAATCTAGAA